AAGGTCACAGAGAAATGGATAGCAGAGGCTCCTGCTCTGAGCGGGACGTGGAACATGCCAGAATGTCACGTGATCTCAGAGGAAAAGCTCGAGTTTCATGTTTTGGGCGAGTATTTACTAAGGTCACAGCTCTGCCCACCTCCAGGCAAGATTACACACACACACGTTTCCACAAACCCAAGAGTTTCCTCCGGTAAATAATAATAAAACGGAGAAGTTAAAGTGTGGGGGAAAAAAGAAAGAAAAAAAGAGAGTTCAACAAGCTGAGCTTTGCCATTAAACTCTACATTTACATTAAAAACCGAAGAGTTTCCTCCGGCTGCTTTTTTTTTTTTACAGAGGAACACACTAGGAAAAGTAAATAATAATAATAATAATAATAATAATAATAATAAGACTGAGAAGTAATACTGTGTGGGTAAAAAAAGAAAGAAAAAATAGAGTTCAACAAGCTGAGCTTTGCCACTAAACTCTACATTTGGGGAAAAGGAGCATTTTAAAGTGACGATTTCTTAACCCTATAATGCCAAATGCATCATATCTGATACGGTTTCTGACACCTTTTGAATAATTTAATGGTAAAAACTGTCACAGAATCCATCTGGATGTTTCCCTTAAGCTGACTTTGTCCCAAATCTTTCTCTTAAGAGCACTTAGAAAAACTGCTGTAAAGCTCAAAGGTGTGAAAATCCCACATAAGAAGAGAAAAGACACCAGCAGCTCCCACAAAGCTGGAAGCATGGAGCTTTTTAGTGGAAACAGATTGAATTTTAGATCTGTTCCATAAGAAAAACACATAAAATACACACGTCAAAAAGGATCAATCTGAACAAAGAGAAGGAAAAACAAATATGTCCATAAAGACCAGGAATTAAACCTGTGATTATAGATTTATTTTGGCATTTGTTTGCTTTTAAATTAATTTTTAATACATCTTCACTCCTGAAAATAAATCTTTAGTAAAATATAGCTTAACCCTGTAATGCCAAATGTGTCATATCTGATACGGTTTCTGAAATGTTTTACATCCGACTCCTTTTGCATAATTTAATGGTAAAAACTTTGCTCTAAATCCTATTGAACACAATCAGATACACCTGATAACAGGGGGCAGAAGATAAACAAAAAATCATCTTGACTTATCGCATAGTAATAAATTATTAATATCAAAAATGTATTTCTGTTTTTTCTTTTTACATATTTTGTTAAAAGGCCAAACAAGGAATTCAAACCAAAAAAAAAAGTAATTTTCTGTTTTGTTTTATTCTTGGATCGGGCTTTAAAGGGTTAAAATTAAACTTTGTCAGGTCTGTTTCTGGGGAATTTATTGATGTTGGCCAAAAAAACTAAACTAAACAAAAAACACTGCAATTAAAAGGTTTAATTGTCCTCTTCGGTTTCAACTTAAGTGTCTCTGTGGAATTTAAGAAATGCGAGTGGGGGAGGAATGGGGGGGGTGGAGGGAAGGTGAGTTTAGCAGACTTTAAATGTTTAAATCAGCTTAAAACGCTCCTTTTGTTTTCTGCATAACGCTCAGAAACACTGTGGCTCGTCTGGTCAGATGATTGTTAACCGTTTTTCTTTTATTTCTGCTTTAAGTTAACCCTCTAAAGCCAAATATATTATATCTGATGGGGTTTCTTTTGGATGTGAGACTTTCTGCATCATTCAGTGGTAAAAGCTTTGCTCAAACCCCTGTTGTACACATTCAGATATACCTGATAACAGCCAGTAGAAGACCACACCAACATACATTTCTGACTTATTGCACGCTAATTTGATCAAAATAATTTCTGTTTTTTTTCTTCATATGTTGTTGAGGGGCCAAAGAAAGACTTCAGACTAAAAAAATCCAACATTCTTCCTGTTTTTCTTGGATCGGGCTTTAAAGGGTTGAGCATTGTTTTATTGTAAAGCATATTCTCTTTAAATATAATCCCCCTCATCAGTTGCCTTTCCTTTGAAGTTAGGGTGGTGTTATGTTCTCCTTCTCTGCAAACAATAAGATTGAGGGGACCCCCCCCCCCCCTCCCTGCAGCTGCAGTCGGTCCCATGATTTTAAATCTTAATTCATTAGATCTGCAGCAGTCTGAGCTCCTCTAAACACACATGATCCAGTATCACCGACCAGAATACCAGATTTATCTAAAAACATCCGGGATATGATGATTTGGATCCAGGAAAATAAATATATTAATTAATTTTTAAAAAAGTGTTTCCTTTGGCTGCTTTTCTTACTGAGGAACACACAAAGAAAAATATATAATAATAATAATAATAATAATAATAATAATAATAATAATAATAAT